GGCGGGCTCAGTCCCGGCTCCCAGCTTCCTCTGACCGCGGCCCCGCCTCCCCAGGAATCCCACCCACCTGCACTGTCAGATGCCTGAGCAGCGGGAATGTATCTTGTACTTGTGACCCTGTGTACACAGTCGGTGCTCAATAAATGCTTGCCCTAGAGACATCGAGCCCGCCTGCATACAGGGCGGCGGCCCGAGCTGCGTCTCCGGTGCCCCTCCCCAGGTGGACGACCTGAAGGCCAAGCTGGCCATCCAGGAGGCGGAGCTCGTGCAGAAGAACGAGAACGCGGACAAGCTGATCCACGTGGTGGGCGTGGAGACGGAGAAGGTCAGCAAGGAGAAGGCCATCGCCGACGAGGAGGAGGTCAAGGTGGAGGTCATCAACAAGGTGGGTCCACTCAAGGCCACGGCGCAGCCCCTCGGGAGCCCGTGAGAAACGCAGGCTCCCCCGGCCGATGGGCTGCATCGGGGCTGCCTTCTGGCGGGATGCCGGGGTCCCCGTGCACAGGAAGGTCGGGGAGGCTGCACTGGAGCCCCCAGGCCCCGTGCCCAGGTGGGGGGTGGGGAGGATGGGCGCCGTCCTGGCGTCCTTGTCGCTGTTCGTTTGTTTTCTCATCTCCCGTCCCTGCCTGGTTCTGTGTCGTAGTCACGTGTCTGCGTAAGGGTTTGAGTTAAGGGGGGGTCCCCGAGCCCTGGCTGGTGTTGCTCAGTGGATAGAGCATCAGCCTGTGGACTGAAGGGTCTCGGGTTCGATTCTTATCAAAGCCACACACCTGAGTTGCAGGCTCGATCCCCAGTGTGGGGTGTGCAGGAAGCAGCCGATCAATGATCTCTCATCATGGATGTTTCTCTCTCCCTCTCCCTTCCTCTCTGAAATCAATAAAAAAATTTTTTAAAAAGGGGGCGTCCCCGAGTGTCTACGTCTCCTGGGAGGGAGGACAGATGAGGAAACTGAAGCTCCTTGTGGCAGCGACATGCCAGGACTCCACACGAGCCAGTGCCATAGGCAGGCTCGGCCCTGAGCTCTGTGACCCGCCGCCCAGTGTCTGCCCACCCCTCTCCAGCCCCCCGCATCCAAACGCACCCCCTGTGGGCTCCAGGAAGAAGGCCTGGGCGCTGCCCAGCACAGCCGGCTGGGTCAGTGCCTGCTGTGCCCCATCCCTGCCTCGTGCCCCACTTGTCCCTAAAGCAGGTGCCTAACCAGCTTCTCCAGGAGGTTAGGGTTAGGGTTATGGCTCTGCCCAGGATAGGGTTAGGGTTAGGGTTAAGGTTATGGCTCTGCCCAGGATAGGGCTAGGGTTATGGCTCTGCCCAGGATAGGGTTAGGGTGTGGGCTAGGGTTAGGGTTAGGGCTCTGCCCAGGATAGGGTTAGGGTTAGGGTTAAGGTTATGGCTCTGCCCAGGATAGGGCTAGGGTTATGGCTCTGCCCAGGATAGGGTTAGGGTGTGGGCTAGGGTTAGGGTTAGGGCTCTGCCCAGGATAGGGTTAGGGTTAGGGTTAAGGTTATGGCTCTGCCCAGGATAGGGCTAGGGTTATGGCTCTGCCCAGGATAGGGTTAGGGTGTGGGCTAGGGTTAGGGTTAGGGCTCTGCCCAGGATAGGGTTAGGGTTAGGGTTAAGGTTATGGCTCTGCCCAGGATAGGGCTAGGGTTATGGCTCTGCCCAGGATAGGGTTAGGGTGTGGGCTAGGGTTAGGGTTAGGGCTCTGCCCAGGATAGGGTTAGGGTTAGGGTTAAGGTTATGGCTCTGCCCAGGATAGGGCTAGGGTTATGGCTCTGCCCAGGATAGGGTTAGGGTGTGGGCTAGGGTTAGGGTTAGGGCTCTGCCCAGGATAGGGTTAGGGTTAGGGTTAAGGTTATGGCTCTGCCCAGGATAGGGCTAGGGTTATGGCTCTGCCCAGGATAGGGTTAGGGTGTGGGCTAGGGTTAGGGTTAGGGCTCTGCCCAGGATAGGGTTAGGGTTAGGGTTAAGGTTATGGCTCTGCCCAGGATAGGGCTAGGGTTATGGCTCTGCCCAGGATAGGGTTAGGGTGTGGGCTAGGGTTAGGGTTAGGGCTCTGCCCAGGATAGGGTTAGGGTTAGGGTTAAGGTTATGGCTCTGCCCAGGATAGGGCTAGGGTTATGGCTCTGCCCAGGATAGGGTTAGGGTGTGGGCTAGGGTTAGGGTTAGGGCTCTGCCCAGGATAGGGTTAGGGTTAGGGTTAAGGTTATGGCTCTGCCCAGGATAGGGCTAGGGTTATGGCTCTGCCCAGGATAGGGTTAGGGTGTGGGCTAGGGTTAGGGTTAGGGCTCTGCCCAGGATAGGGTTAGGGTTAGGGTTAAGGTTATGGCTCTGCCCAGGATAGGGCTAGGGTTATGGCTCTGCCCAGGATAGGGTTAGGGTGTGGGCTAGGGTTAGGGTTAGGGCTCTGCCCAGGATAGGGTTAGGGTTAGGGTTAAGGTTATGGCTCTGCCCAGGATAGGGCTAGGGTTATGGCTCTGCCCAGGATAGGGTTAGGGTGTGGGCTAGGGTTAGGGTTAGGGCTCTGCCCAGGATAGGGTTAGGGTTAGGGTTAAGGTTATGGCTCTGCCCAGGATAGGGCTAGGGTTATGGCTCTGCCCAGGATAGGGTTAGGGTGTGGGCTAGGGTTAGGGTTAGGGCTCTGCCCAGGATAGGGTTAGGGTTAGGGTTAAGGTTATGGCTCTGCCCAGGATAGGGCTAGGGTTATGGCTCTGCCCAGGATAGGGTTAGGGTGTGGGCTAGGGTTAGGGTTAGGGCTCTGCCCAGGATAGGGTTAGGGTTAGGGTTAAGGTTATGGCTCTGCCCAGGATAGGGCTAGGGTTATGGCTCTGCCCAGGATAGGGTTAGGGTGTGGGCTAGGGTTAGGGTTAGGGCTCTGCCCAGGATAGGGTTAGGGTTAGGGTTAAGGTTATGGCTCTGCCCAGGATAGGGCTAGGGTTATGGCTCTGCCCAGGATAGGGTTAGGGTGTGGGCTAGGGTTAGGGTTAGGGCTCTGCCCAGGATAGGGTTAGGGTTAGGGTTAAGGTTATGGCTCTGCCCAGGATAGGGCTAGGGTTATGGCTCTGCCCAGGATAGGGTTAGGGTGTGGGCTAGGGTTAGGGTTAGGGCTCTGCCCAGGATAGGGTTAGGGTTAGGGTTAAGGTTATGGCTCTGCCCAGGATAGGGCTAGGGTTATGGCTCTGCCCAGGATAGGGTTAGGGTGTGGGCTAGGGTTAGGGTTAGGGCTCTGCCCAGGATAGGGTTAGGGTTAGGGTTAAGGTTATGGCTCTGCCCAGGATAGGGCTAGGGTTATGGCTCTGCCCAGGATAGGGTTAGGGTGTGGGCTAGGGTTAGGGTTAGGGCTCTGCCCAGGATAGGGTTAGGGTTAGGGTTAAGGTTATGGCTCTGCCCAGGATAGGGCTAGGGTTATGGCTCTGCCCAGGATAGGGTTAGGGTGTGGGCTAGGGTTAGGGTTAGGGCTCTGCCCAGGATAGGGTTAGGGTTAGGGTTAAGGTTATGGCTCTGCCCAGGATAGGGCTAGGGTTATGGCTCTGCCCAGGATAGGGTTAGGGTGTGGGCTAGGGTTAGGGTTAGGGCTCTGCCCAGGATAGGGTTAGGGTTAGGGTTAAGGTTATGGCTCTGCCCAGGATAGGGCTAGGGTTATGGCTCTGCCCAGGATAGGGTTAGGGTGTGGGCTAGGGTTAGGGTTAGGGCTCTGCCCAGGATAGGGTTAGGGTTAGGGTTAAGGTTATGGCTCTGCCCAGGGTAGGGTTAGGGTTAGGGTTAAGGCTCTTCCCAGGATAGGGTTAAGGTTAGGATTATGCCTCTGCCCAGGATAGGGTTAGGGTTAGGGTTAGTGTTGTATTAGGTCTACGTTTACGGTTGGGTTAGGGCTAGTTCTTAGTCTGGGACAGACCCTCCCTGACCCTCTGCTACTCCCTATGCCCTTGGTGTCCAGGGAATTTAGTTCCTCCGTCTCCCCTCCACTGTCTGTTCCCAGGCAGACGCTGTTCCCTTTTTTAAAATATATTTTATTGTTTGCAGAGAGGAAGGGAGAGGGGGAGAGAGAGAAGGAAACATCAACGATGAGAGCGTGTCATTGATAGGCTTCCTCCTTCCAGCCCCCTCCCTGGGGTGGAGGCCACCACCCGGGCATGCGCCCTGACTGGGACCTGAACGGTGACCTCCTGGTTCATAGGTCGCTGCTCCGTCCCTCAGCCTGGCTGGCCGGGTGTTTGCCTGTTTCTTATCGACACACCAAGTGCCTGTGGGACCGTCTGCACCCTGAGGCCCAAGCGGCTCTTTCTGACTCAGAGGAATGAATGCGGAGTGAGTGTGCGTAGGCGTGAATGAAGGCATGCATGCGTGAACCAGTGAATGAATGGTGCATGCGGGACGGAACAAACGCCTGCTCTCTGGAGGGAGAGTGCGCTGCACCTCTGGAAAGTTCCCAGGGACAGCAAGGCCTCACCCCAGGGCGTCTGCTGGCCCCGCTTCCCTCGCGGCCTGGACGCCGGAGCCAATGGGAGCACAGCTCCGTCCTGAGCGTCTGCATGGCGGCCCGGGGAGGCCCTCGTGCTGAGGGGCCTGACCAAGGCGGCCGGCGGAGAACGGCCGATCCCATTGGGTGACGCCCCTGCCCAGGGCCCGCACGCCACCCAGACAGTCCATCGCGTTGCCCTTTCCTCTCTGGCTTCCTTCCAGAACGTCACCGAGAAGCAAAAGGCTTGTGAAACGGACCTGGCCAAGGCAGAGCCGGCCCTGCTGGCCGCGCAGGAGGCTCTGGACACGCTGAACAAGGTGAGGAGGAGGAGGAGAAGCGGGGATCCGGCTGGAGGCGGGGGGAGCG